TACAGTGTTTCATATGACAGGTATTCTGATTGTGGAAGATGTGGGGTTGCAATATTTTGACAATTGCATGGCTATAAAGTACGAGACAATTAATATAGTACTCCATTACTCTAATTGCCAGAACACTGCATCAGAATGAGAAGTTGTCTGTTACAGTTCGGTTTAGTAAAAGTACATAGTAAAAGTACATAGTCAGCTATGTAAAATGTAATTTAGTCAGTGTCAAATAAATATTTTGTCATGGATAAACTCTGTGCAAGTGAGCATGTCTCTAATGTCATTTTACTTTTAATAAGAATATGTAGATGTGTTTTCTAATGCACCTTAGGTTTGCTGTGTTATAGCATCTTTTGTAGGTGTGTTATGTAACACACCTTAGTGTGTTATGAAACACACCTTACAACGTGCTGTAAACATTACAGACCTCTATGGTGTGTTATACAGCACAGCTTTAGGTGTGTTTTAAAACACGCCATGGTGTGTATGAAAACACGCCATGGTGTGTATGAAAGCACGCCATGGTGTGTACGAAAACACGTCATGGTGTGTTCAAAAACACACCTTTATACAAAACACACCTTAAGGTGTGTTAAAATCTGGACAAGCCGAAAACACACCTTAAGGTGGGTTTTAGAACACACCTTAAGGTGTGTTAACACACCTTAAGCTGTGTTACAAAACACGCCAAAAGCTGTGTTAAACACACCTTAAGGTGTGTTCTAAAACCCACTTTAAGGTGGGTTAAACTTTGTTCAAAAAGGTGTGTTAAATTAACACACCTTTTTTTAAAGTGTTCATTTGACTTTTTTGCGCCCGACAAACTTTTGCGTCGCGTTGTCGAATCGCGTTCGGTCTGTATGGGCCTTTAATCAAAACTTGTATTACTGTACGTATTTGAATTGTTCAGAGCACGATTAGCGTTAAGGCTGTGTTACAATTTAACTTGTTGATTTGGTTTGTATATTTCTGTACGTCCTTTTATCCCCAAACTTAAGGAAATAAAACTTCTTTTGATTCAGACACGGTTTCTAAGTTTATAAACATGCGGTTGGAAAGTTTGCTGTGGCGTTTTGCACTGTACATAAGTACGTTAACTTTGAACAACTGCCTCTGATTATTATAATAATGAAAATTATTGATGATGACGATGATGATAATAAGTTTTATCACGAATCCTGTAGAGTGGTTTAAAATTGGCCCTATAGTCCAACTTATAGTAATACATGTTACTGTTAAAATACGGTATTAATTTGTACATTGTTAAAGTATCTGACAACATGAGATTTTTACATTTGTATTGAAAATTGCTTAGTGCGTTGGATGCAGGCCTTAAAATATTGGTCAGTCACGGACTAGGGTACACTTTCATTTACGTTGGACAAAGTTTACAGTTAGGTCGGACACCAATTCACTCGGGTCGGACAAACAATAAAACTCAGTTTCCCTTAGGTTGGACAGAATGTCCAGTTTAAATGGAGAATCAAAGTAATGTACAAAAAGTGAACTAGAAATGTATAATTAAGTGCCAGGGGTATATGATTGACCGATAATCGGCATCGGGTCGATTTTTGCCTTATCAGTAGACAATAGGAATCAGTAGAATTATCTATATTTCCGATTGTCTAAAACCGATTGTTGAGAAAATACGCACTTTGATACACGTTGCGTTTTAACGGAACATGTTAAACTAATGCGTGAAGCTTGGCATTTATTAACGGGTTTAACGATCTTTGGTTGCAGTAACATGTTGCGTTGGAAATTATCGTTAAAAAATCGACATGAATGATGTCACCTTTACTCGGTCGACTGATATTATGACGTCATTGTAAACTGATCAGCATCGGTATCTGGTAGATTGTGGATAAACTAGAAGTTACTATCGCAAGGGAAGTGCTGCCTTACGACCGAAAGTCTTGGGGATTGATAATATCAAAAAACTTCATTCATTTAAATTGCGTTATATATATACACTGTATGTATGAATTTATTTTGTTTAATAGTGCAATAATTATTATATACTGTAAACTGTACTTCGGATTTTCATATTTATACACATGTTATTGTTGGTACCAATGTTTTAAACCGTCTTCACTTGACAAGGAAGGAAGAACAAACATATGTCTTTTAACGTGATATGATTAGTTTGTTGAAAGTTTTCATATTCTTTCCAAGTAATAATAGTCTACTGTATTTTCCAATTGGTAAACGAGACCGTGCCATTCGTGGTTATTTGTCCAATATGCAGATGTTTCGTATTTATTTAGCATGTACAGGTAGTGTCCATTGTTGGCCATCATATTGTCCAATAGCTTGTTAGGTTACCGTACATATGAAGGTATGTAATATCTTGACATAGTAGACATAGTGTACAATGTTCCTGATATCCATATGGTACTGTAGATTGGAAACAAGTACAGTAATTCAATAATACATAGCAGATTCCATATCCCATTGCATTAGATGTATTGTAATATATCCAATCTTGTAAATCATTCTTGTTTTAATAGAAATACATTTCTGTTAATCCAGAAGCTCCTATCCATTTTCATGAGATGTACAGTAACATATCCATATTATATTTTGGCTGTAACAACCATTTAGTTTCATCCAGCAGTTAACATGGCACCATTCACATCCGTCAGAATTGCAAAACTATAGAAAAAATAATTGGTAGCATGAGATATTTATGTGGAAACATAGTGGCACATAACTGAGTCAAAATAAAAGTAGGGCAGGGGGAGGGGTTAAATAAACAAAAAACTTACCTTTCTTCTGTCTTGCAAATCATAATACTTTCATACATACAGTGACAACAAGGAGTAAATTATTTATTATATAATAAATTAAATTAAAAGGGTATATAGTCAAACTACATACCAAACTATAACTGGGATCCATATATGAAATCCCTCTCTTATTCATTAAAACTCAATAGTTTGTTGCTCTAAATGCACTGCTAGTGGCCTGTGCTAACTGATCAAGCCTGTTTTCTTCTTCAAGCCTATATTGTAAGTTAGCAGATGATTTCAAGCTTGTTAATTGTTCATACGTCATTGGTTCAATGACACAAGATGTAAGTGATTTTACTCTGCTAATAGCAACATAAGAAACTCCAGCAGTTCTTTCAGATTTGCCAATATCTATCCATGCTTTTGGAAGTGTAAGTCCTTGGCTCTTGTGTATTGTTAGAGCCCAAGCAAGCCTAAGAGGTAACTGTTGCCTCTCATGGAAACCTATTTCTGTCTGTGATGTGACAGTGATTGGACATATTGGGATACACAATGGTCGGCTTTCATTAAAAACAGGTCCTCTATAGTTTTCAAATTCTACTATTACCGCAATAGGTAAGTCAGGTGGTTGATGGTTGTTCTGATAGATAATATCAACAACTGTTCCCAGTAGCCCCATTGCAGAGGCCAACACTTGACCACAAATTCATGGTTAACATAACCCTAGCACCTTTTGCTAGAAACACAACAGGTTCTAACCCAGACATATCATCTGAGGATATCTTTTTGGCAAATGCTGATGAATGGCGAGCATTAATATGAGCAATTGGATGCTCCAGTTTTGTTAGCTGCTCATGGTTGTAATTACTAACTTGTTCATTACCATAAAAGAGTCTAGTAGAATCTTCAAAATCACATAAATTAGTGACATTTGATGGTTGACGTGTCAGAAGTAACTTCCAGTCATCAACTGTTGAGTCGCCTTTACGAAGTCGTAATAACAAATCTCTGAACTGTACTTGCTCAGATGTCATACCTTGCACACGTTGATTTACAGTGAGTTTAACAACATTGTCAAACATATGATATGCTTGATGACCTTGTTCACCAACAGCATTTGATGGTCTAGCATGGTAAAGAGGCTTATCTGCTACTGGTGGCAATTGACCTGGATCACCAGTTAAAATCAACGATTTTCCTCCAAATACTTTGTCATTAGAACCAGTTGCTTGTTTGCAACGCTTGTCTATCCAACCAAAAGTAACCTGGCCAAGCATGGAGTATTCATCAATAATGATGTATCCAATGTTATTAACACTCTCTTGCAACCTACACAAGCTTTGTCCTGTTAGGTCTTTATTACCTCTTGATCCTATAGGTAACTTTAATAGAGAATGCACAGTTACACCTCTAATGTTAAAAGCTGCTTTACCTGTGGTAGCAGCAACAGCACATTTACTTTGCAAAAGATTTCTAATAGCATTAATAAGGTAACTTTTACCAGTTCCTGCAACACCATTTATAATAAGACACAATGGCGCTTTCTCGGATGATGTATCATCAAAATGAGACTTAACAACATTATAAGCAAGTTTTTGCATTTCACTAAAACTGTTGATGTCAACAACATCATATTGCTCATCAATAGTGTATTCCTCTTTGTTTGTTTTTATCCATGTTGGCATTTCTTGGATTTGTTGTTCTGAATAATTGGCTCTGTCAAGATGCCAGTCATATGTGGACTCTGGTGTTTGTTCAGAGTTGTCAAAAGGAGTGTTGAGATCTGATAATATCATCCACTCTTCTCGAGTTGTCTCCTGTTCTTCAGAAGGTTCATCTTCTGGTTCTTGAGTTTGAATGACAGCTTGTAATTTATCAAACCAGTCTGGGACATTAGACTGCCCATAAGGTGTTTGTAAAAATTCATGCCAACAATTGATCAGAACCTCGTCAGTTGGTTCTTGGTCACCCCATGCATTATTTTGGGTTGTTCTCCAGGGTTTATACCTCAAAAGTTGATATTTACAATATAGGCCAAAATTTGGACCTTTGGGATTAGGAGAATATGTTGGAAATATTCGCGGTATAACATTCTCTGGCAATTTTGTCAGTTCATTGTTAACAACTTTGTATGTTGTAGCAAATTGAACAAAGTTCATATTTGTTATATTTTGTGAACTCTCATATTGTTCACGATTAGCATACACATCAAGAAGTGAATAATCAGTGCACGATTCGCCCTCATCAATACTTGCAGTATCACACACTCTACGTGAACCATTTAGACTAACTGGCATCACTTTAAAGGATGAGCTGTGAAGCTTTAAAGACAACAAATGATGCATTGTCTCTTGAGCTGCATAATCTCTTTCACCAAGAGATTTCATAACTACCTTCTTAATAACTCTACGAGGGTCAGTATTACTGTCAACATTTTGCACAATAGAATTGAATGCCTGTTTTAATATAGGTGATCTTGGCTCACCTTTAGCTGCATATTTTGTGAGATATTCAACACAAGCATAGTGATCAATAACAACCTGAATATCACAGTTAGCTCTCCATCCTTGGAGCTGAAGTTATTGATGGTTATTTAATCTAGAGTCATTTCGTTTAGTCACAATCTTAGCTCGATAATGCTCATTATGGCCTGAAGTGTGAATTTTTTCAAATTTGTCGTTGAACCATGTTTAATAGATCTACATAATCTGATTGTTTTTCATGCTCGGGAATGTCATGACTTCTTTGACATGGATGAACCTCAGGTCTTATCCACATGTCCTCGTCTGGTGGATTAGGATTGATGGTTGATAATAACCAATCAACATACTGACATACTGTGTCAGCTGCTTTTTGACCAGCTTCAATATCCTGGTCTAGTTCAGTTGTGTCAGAACAATCATTTTCATCTTTAAATTTTTGAGCTAAGAAACCTTTCAAAGCAGTCTGAGTAAGTTGACACAAACCTGGGTCATTATTTAGTTTAGCAGTACCATGACAATGGATACTACCTCTACCTTGATATTCATATCTAAACCAGTGCCATTTTGCACCAAGAGTATCATAAAGCCAGTGTTTTACAAAGCTTTCTAATCTTTGGGTAAAAAACCAATCTACGACATGGGGATTGTTAATAACATTTTGTCGTCTTACCTCACTGGTAGAGTTACCTAACTCATTGTCAGTGTCAGCTTTAAATAAAGCATGTAACTCAGGCCAATGCATATCTGCAGAGGAGAAAGTGAAAAATAATGTTGGTGCTCCAACACTAGTTATGATAGCTTTGAGTTCCTCTCTTACCCTATTCCAGTAAGCATTAGTACCTGCAATGTTGCCAACATATCTCGATACTTTAGACATAAATACATTAGCATTGTTACTGACAGCCATTTCACGCAGTTCATCAATTGTGAGATGAGCTTCACCTGGGTTCTGTTTGAGGAATATTCCACTTTGTTGTAAAATTCGTTTTCTTTGAATCATATTAAACGCCCAATAAGAAAATCTAGGGTGGTTAGCAAAACGGTATACCCATTTACCATCAATAATTTCAGCAAATTTTAGAAGATGCTTTATTCGTTCCTGAAGAGGGACATCTCTCAGAAGTCCTTGATTAGTAGGATCACCTTTCCCATCTGGAAATAAAGTTGGGAAAGCCATTGTGGCCAGATGTGATACCTGATACTCATTTAATGGCTCATTTTCAACTGAGGGCCATGGCATTGGCTCATTTTCAGACAGCTGGTTTCTAACAGCTTCAATTTCCTGTTGTTGTTGTTTGCCAACAGGTAAAAAACTACTCATTTCAGTAGAGTGATTATAAACATTATCCTCCGATGGGTTATCAGTAGGAGGACCTGCATCTGGAGAACAATTGTCATCAGAGACTATATCATCATCAGTCTCAACAGTCATGAGATCTGGTGGTACACCATTCTCAGGTAATGAATTTAATGCTTCTTCATTAATTGTTAACTCAGAATAATGTGGGTTATTATTGATAAGCCAAACTAAGGCATTGTGCACTTTTTGCTTTCGCACTGTCACATCTCTGAATGTGTTATCTTTACCTTTTACTTTGACAATAATCACAGTTAAGTCTTTGGGGTACCTTGGCAAAGATGTTGCAAGTTCTGTGACATTTTGGGGCAAGTTAATACAATGCCCTGAATAACCTCGTTGACCACCAGGTTTAATATAAACTCTCATGATAGGCAAAGCACGAGCAATTAACATTTCCTCAATTTGAGTTAAATTCTGCAATTCATTTGGAACAGACGAAGGTATCATTGAATTTTCACAAGAAAACTTTTTAGGAGATTTTTTATCTCTAAAGCATCGTGAACACATGTAAGGTGTCTTTGGTTTTGATTTTAAGGGCCATGCCTCCTGACATACTGTGCACTGACTGACAATATATTGCACAGACTTATTAAACTTATTAATGTTAGCCTTAGCCCAACATTGCTCTTCAATACTGCCATTATTGGTGTCAAACATATTTAAATAATCCTGTTGATTTAATACTTCATGTTGAGGCTGTGACACTTTTTTTGCCCGCTTTTGTTTTTTATAAAGTCTATCTTTCTCAAGCCTCATTTGTCTCTCACAGTCAGTTTCCTCTGACCGCTTTCTTTTTTTAGACTCACGATCCTTTTGAAGTCTAATTTGTTGTTCATTGTAAGTCTCCTCTGAGCGTTTCAGTTTAATTGACTCACTTAATTTTTGAAGTCTGTCAGTTTCCTCTGACTGCTTTCTTTTTTTATATTCACTAGCTTTTTGAAGTCTGATTTGCCTCTCTTTGTCAGTTTCCTTTGACTGCTTTCTTTTATTGTACTCACTAGCTTTCTTAAGTCTAGCTTGTTTATCACCTTCATTTTCTACTAAAAGCCTCTTTTTTTGGACACTCTCTTGATCCTGTACACACTTACTTTTTTGCTCAGAAGCTTTACATATATTCAATTGCACAGGTACAATTTCAAATAAATTGGCATGCAATGTCATTGAAAGAGAATACAAATATTGTTCTAATTCTAGAATATTAGCAAATTTCATGACAACAGCAGTGCCATTAGGATCAGGCATGCCACTAGAGTCTCTGGCATGGGAGTCAAATAAATAGAAAAAATCTGCTTGCTTCATCAATGCCATCATATAGCCTTCTAATATTAAAATAGTATAACTATAATCTGAAAACACATTCAAAAGTGCTGTGTGAATGTCATAGTAGTGCGATGCAATTTTTCGGTTGGTTATAACAAGACCTTGAAGCTCTTTTCCATAATTTAGAAACAAAACTTGGTTTTCATTGTTTGCCTCATTAGGCACCACAGAATTGTGCTCTATCCCAACGAATAGATCAGTGTTACTTTTTGCCAAAATGGGTAGATCAGTGACACTTTTTGCCTCTGTGGGCTCTACCACAATGGGCAGATCAATAGTTTTTGCCTCAATGGGCTCTACCACAATGGGCAGATCAATAGTTTTTGCCTCAATGGGCTCTGCCACAATGGGCAGATCAATAGTTTTTGCCTCAATGGGCTCTACCACAATTGGTAGACTGTTAGTATTTTGTCGTACCACCACGGGTAGACTGTTACTGTTTTGTCCTACCACCACCGGTGGACTGTTATTATTTTGTCGTACCACCACGGGTAGACTGTTATTATTTTGTCGTACCACCATGGGTAGACTGTTACTGTTTTGTCCTACCACCACGGGTGGACTGTTATGATTTTGTCGTACCACCACGGGTAGACTGTTATTATTTTGTCGTACCACCACGGGTAGACTGTTACTGTTTTGTCCTACCACCACGGGTGGACTGTTATTGTTCTGTCGTACCACCACAGGTACACTGTTACTGTTTTGCCCTACCACCATGGGTAGTTCAACATTATTTTCTGCATCAAAGGGATGCACTGTATTCGCATGCACTACAGGTGGTATATTACTTGTGTCGATCATAGAATCACATATCTTGTAAGAAAATATGTTCGTACAACTTGAAACACTGACAAGTTTAGGTAAGTTATCTACAGATAAGAATTCGACACCAGGTTCTAAGACAACAGAGCCATTATCTAGAGCTTGCAAGTACATTTTGTCTCCTTGTAATAAGACATTATTCAATGTTGTTTTTGACCAATCGATCAGTGGGATATTTTGGGCAGTTAAAACCGCAGATAGACTCATAAAAGCACATTGTTTGCCTCTAGATTGAACACTAAAAAGGTCATCGCCTTGATGTATTTCAGAAGAAAGAAATAGAGCCATACTTACCTGAAATTTTTCGAATATTTTTTATATAAACTTGCATCCGTATAAAACCAATTGTAAAATCTCGATTCTTGAGCACATGGAGATGCGTGCGCAATACAAAATCTTGTTTAGACCGCTCCCCTCATTCAACGAACGTTCCTGAAGCTTAATTATTCCCCCCGGATTACGACAAACATCCGACAGACAGACAGACACAAGATCGAGATCTCGACAATACATAGATCGCGCGAAAGACTGGGTCGAGTGGACTCTGGAGAAACCACCGCGTGTCAAGAATAGTGTGCTGCCTCGCTACGCTCGGCAGCAATAAAGACCAGTTAATAAAGGTCTGTGGATGATACGTAACTCGGAAGTGTTCTTACATGATTATTTTAGGATGTCAGGATAAGCGCAAACAAAATAGCTGTATCGCATGGAAAAAGCTAGGATATTGTGTACAAAGTCAAGTGTACTACAATTTTATGAAAGTGAACTGTTGCAAGACATGCGGTGCCACAATAAGTGTAAATATATTTTGCTATGCATAACGTTATATATGGCTAATGGCTTTATCATAATGTTGTTTTAGTACGGTGTTTTAAGTTTAGTTTTAGTTTTTAAACTACCAATTTATTTTCACTGTTTAGTTTAGTTCTAGCTGAAAGAAGAATTTCAATTTCGTTTTTGTTTAGTTCTAGTTTAAAACAGTCATTTCAATTTAAAGTGCCACTGCGATGGAAAATTGTGCTGTCTTTTTATTGTATATTCAGAAAGTATGTCTGTAGATAAACAAAATTACCAAATATCAGCGTCCAATTCCATTTCCTTCTCCCTTTTTTTTCAACGCAAACATGCAAATTTTTTGGCCGCCATTACTGAGTTGCCAATTAGCGAGATGTTGATTTCTTAGCCGGATGTGACGTCATTTACTCAACACGCTTCTTTCCCGAAGGAGAAATTAATATTATCAAAGGCTTATTCTAGGCTGTTTTTTGTTCAAAATTATGTCTTCTGACGAAAGCCACAGCTCAAATTTTGCAACACAATCATCTTGCGAACTCTCTTTTGCCGAAGACGTTTCTTGTGATAGCGGGGGTGATGTAAATATGGAGAAAAGTGTGGATTTGTGCGAGGCCTATGATACTTCAGTCGAGGCTCTTGCCACTGAAAAAACATAATACACGAAAAGTACTATAACTGACAGAGAGCAAGAGCAGCAAACACTGTCTGCTGGATTGTCTGCGGTAGGGATAGCAGCCAAAATTTCAAATTTACAGGGGGGCTCCGCAAGTAGGCTAGTTTGATAGAGCTCGTGATTTAAAACATAATGGTGTTTGTTTCATCAAAATCGGTCAAGGCAATCAAAAGTTACGGCAATTTGAATGTTGGAATTTTAGTCCCATTTTTGGAAGAGCGACACTGTATAAATGTATTACAGCTGGGTGTGAAATGTGGCACCAAAAATGCTTGGTTTTAAGTGGATTTTTAAACATATAAGGTCATAACTTCTAGACATTTCATCCAATCACCACAATATTTTCAGAGGACATTGGTGACATACAAAGCAACAACATAATGTAACATTTGGACACTTATCGTTGCCATGGAAACCGTATGACGTCATGAAATGACAAAGAAAAAACACGGAAACTGAAATTAGATAATTTATTACTTAAAAACCATTACAAAAGTGTTGTATGACATGTTATATGTCAAATAAGTAACACTAGTTGATAAAATGTTACAAAACTGCGTTACCATGGAAATATGATGACGTCATAATGACGTCATAGCTATAAACAATATGCACTTAAAATACATATTTTTCATCACTAAAACATTAATTTTTAAAAAGTAAATGTGTGTCGGATAGCATTACATGCTCAACAACACGACGGACAACATCGTTCAGTTACCATGGTAACCACGTGACGTCATTTTTATATACATTTTAATTGCAACATTCTGCATATCTTTGCTGAAAATTTTATACTTAAAATTAACTTATTGAAATATGTTGATAGTTCCATTATTGTACACCCTACCAATCCTAAACACTTGTCAGTCGTCACATAGACTGTTTCCATGACAACGTTACAAATCTGATGATGTCCCAATTACATAACTGATGACATCATACTACTATTGATAACTTACTCATGTTGAGGAGGAAATCAATTATTTTTTACATATTATTTACTGTAACACTAGTTTACCAATCAAAGATACAGTTTCGACAACAAAAACTCCTGAGCTATATATCGAGCTGGACTGCTTGCTCATTTATTGGTAACGGGAGTTGTTTCAGTTCATTGTCCAAGCTATTCCACAGTCCAACAGCTCTAAACCGAAAACTCCTCTGACCCGATAAAGTTTTGCATAAGGAAATATGCAGTAACTCCCTGTTTCTGGTGACCCAGTCATGGAGTTCCACATGTTTGTTATTAATTAATTAAATAACTCACATACATAGATATGGTGGAGCGAGTCCATTCATGCACTATTTTCTACATACTGTCTCATTTAAGAAAGGCATACAGTTTGAATGCATTGGCACTTCTAATCCATGGTGTACTTTAAGTTGATAATGTACACTATAACAATGAAAAATAATAGATTAGTCATCAGTTGAACTAATCAAAATTTCCCATTTATCCTGAACAGTTCAGTTTACTGTTGGGTTTTCAGCACATCAATTGGCAGAACACATAGCCAAGTTACAATGTCAACCCATGATTTTCCCATCCACTCCCTTGTTTCACATAACTCGATTACCAACTTATTAGTTAAAAATACAACTGTGGTCTTACCAACAACCTGCTGTTGTTTTTAATACACTTGTTATATCATGCAATACCTGGTCAGTAATTCCAAGTCTCAGACGATCATCGCCAACAGATGTCTGCTCTGATGCTCTTTATAAAGCTGTAAA